CCAAACTGAGATCAAATTTGTGATCCTCCTGGCTCCTAATCCAGGGAATACTGGAAATATAGGTGTCCACCACCACACCTGGATCATAGCATACCATGGATTTTTTTTTTTTTTTTTGTACCTGGATGAGAAACTCAGGTTTGAACTTTCACTTGCTTGAATTACGATGTTGAGCTGCATCTCAGGCCAAATCTCCTGGTTTTGAGTGAAGAGTAACTTGAACATTACCTAACAATTTAACATTATGTAACATCACTACTTAACAATGTAGCATAAAGACTGCTAGGTAACCCAGCATGCCCTGTTTCAGGGGCATGGCTAAACAGAGGGACTTTCCCTGGTCCAGTTGAAGAGGTCTTAGGGGGAGGCTTAGGCATGCCCCATAGGCAGAAGAAGGAAATAAAGAAAAAGGAAACCTAGTCGTGTTTTTAACACTGTCTGCACAGCGAGGCAAGTTCTCATCAATCCATCAAGATGGAAACCTCGGCGTGTATCCCCGAAGAGGTTGAATCTGCGTTCTCACCCACAAGAGAAGCCCACCAACTCACAGCGGAAGATGCTCACTATGGATCTGTGCAAGATCTGACTGAAGATCACAGGCTTATGAGGGATAGCAGTTTCCCACAACTCAGAGGTGAGGCTAAAGAAGAAGAGTGGTTAGAAAGACAGAACACCACAGGGGACATGCCACAGGAGCCAGGTAAAAATAAACTCTTTCACTTTAAGGGGAAAGTGAACGGGATGGATTAAAAGTCGTAATAATACAGTCAAAGGTTATATAGAAGTAGCTCAAAATATTTTCATTCTATTGAAAAGAGAACTGAGTTGATCTCTGGTAAGGTATCAAGAAATTTTATCCTGATTTCTATTTGCATAGGTTAATTGCTAAGCGTGAGGAATGGTCTTGGTCAGTTTTCCTATAGTTGGGTACAGTTCCTGTCACCTACAATTTAAAGGAGAGAGGTTTAATATGGCTTATGTTTTTGAAGCATTCAGTACATAGTCATCACCTTTAAGGCAGCAATAGAGAATCTCCTATTGAATGTCTCCTTTCTTGTTATAACAAAAAGCTTGCTTTTTTTCTTTCTAATTACAACTTCTTTTTGAGGAAATAAATATGGCTTCAAATGCAGTTATAAGAAACAAGGCACAGTGTTGTTAATCTCTTACAGTTTCCTCAAATGATAAAATTTTGCAAAACTTTAGAATAGTGTCAAAAACAGAACATTTTCATTGTTGAACTGTTTGCTATATTGGTCCACACATTTTAATGTGTAAAAATTCATGACTATAAAAGTCATTTCCTTATAACACATTAAATTGCTGCAGGGTGTTGAGTGATAGTCGTTTTCAGTTCTAACATTGGTGATTTGTGTTTCTCTTTATTTTTCAGTTTTGTTGATATTTTGTCAACTTTATTAAAATTTTTACAGGTGTTGAAGGTTGTTTCATATCTCCACTGATTTTGTTTTAGACATTACAAAATTCTTGTTTTCATTATTTATGTTTTATACTAATATTTGGATCACTTTGGTAATGTTTATATGACTACTTTCCTTACTTAGACATTAATTTTTCCTTTTCTGAGATACCACTGAGGTCTGTTGTGTTTAATTTTCTTATTCAGAAAATTTCCTGTTTTCTTTGTTTGTTTTCCACTTTAAGGCAATTATGATCTGATAACTTCTTCCATATGATTTCCATTATAT